TGGGTTGTTTTCCTTTATCTTGTTGTTGTGCTTGAGTACTTTATAAATTCTAGATGTAAGTCCCTTATCAGACATGTCATTACCAATGTTTTTTCCCAGTCTGTGGCTTCCCTTTTTATCCTGTTGGAGAAGTTTTTGGATGTGCATAGGGATTTGATTCTTAAAGGTCCTATTCACCCATTTTATCCTCTCTTGGTTGTAGGTTTTTCAGGATGCTTGGAAGACTGTTTATGTTGTGGTAAGGTCAGACACAATTTGTTGTTATCCACACAGCCAAATGCCTCTGCATAGTCAAAGAAACATCTAACATCAGCTGTAATATCCCTAGTGCCATCACCTCTTCTATACCCAGCTTGCACATCTAGCAGTTTTCTGTTGTATTATTTTTCCAGGTTTTTTTTTGGATAATCTTCAACAAGATTTTGCTTGCATATGATAATTTCCACACTCTGTCAGATCACCCTTTTTTTTTTGAATGAGAATAAATAATAGATCTCTTCTAGTCACTTGGCCACGTGGTTGTCATCCAGATTTCTTGTCACAACCTGATGAACTTTCCCAGGGTTTTTTGCCACATTCTTCAGAGCAGCCTGAACGTCCTCCTTCACTATTGCCTCTTGACCAAATGTTATTTCATGAAATTCTTCTGTGTCAGCCAATTCTTTTTGATACAGTGACCCCATGTACTCCTTTCATCTTCTTTTGATGCTTCCTGGGTCATTCAGTAGTCTGCCCAAAGCAACTCAAGGCTTGAATTGAATGAGTTCATCTTTTTTTATTTTCCAACTCTAGTTCTTTGCACATTTTGTTATGATACTTTGCTTTGTAGCTTCCCAAACTACCCTTTGAAATAATCTGTATTCTGCTCCTTACCTTCTTGATTTCTTCCCCTTGCTTTGTGACTTCTCAATGCCCTACTGCAATATTCAGAGTCTCTTCTAACATCCATCTTGGTCTTTTCTTCTGCATTCATCTTTGTAATGGTCTTTTACAAAGGATGCATCTTATTTTTATACCTTTTCAATCTACATTAGAACAGATCATCTGGGAGGCTAGACTTTATGAGGAAGAATGTGACATTGGGATTGGAGAAAGACTCATCAACAACCTGCGTTATAAGATGACACAACCTTGCTTGCTGAAACAGAGGAGGACCTGAGGCATTTGCTGTAGAAGGTCAAGGACTGCAATGTTTAATATGGATTGAAGCTCAACATCAAGAAAACAAAGATCCTCACCACGGTGCTGATTGGCGACATCATGATAGACAGTAAAGAGAATGAGATTGTTAATAGCTTTAGTGGCTTGTTTTTACAATCCACACTTTTGGCACCAACAGTCAGGATAGCAAAAGAATAATTGCATTGGGAAAGTCTACTGTCCTCTCCAGAGGTATCTCTCCAGAGTACTGAAAAGCAACGACATCAGGCCAGTGACTAAGGTGCACCTGATCTAAGCCAAGGTTTTCACAATTTCTTGCTATGTATCAGAGAGCTGGAAAATGACTAAGGATGGTAGAAGGAGAATTGAAGCCTTTGTGTTGTAGTGCTGGAGAAGAGCACTGAACATAACCATGGACTGCTAAGAAAACAAATGGGTAAGTCCTGGAGAGAGTGACACCAAGTTTCTCCTTGGAGGCTAGGATTTTGAAACTCCATCTCACATACTTTGGACATGTTTCCAAGAAGGACCAGTTCTTCATGAAGGGCATCATGCTTGAAAGTGTGAAGGGAAAATGCAGGAGAGAAAGACCTTGGATGAGATGGATTGGCTAAGTAACTGGTAATAGGGATAGGTATGTCAGAGAGAATGAAATTGGCACAGGATGGGGCAAGGTTCAGATCTATTGTACATAGGGTCCCTATGAGTCACAGGCGACTCAATTGCACATGACGACAAATAACAAATGTCTTTATTGAGGAATGGAACTAGAGTTCTTCTTTGTGTGAATTGTCTCTGATCTGGGAACTACTGAAGGGCAGTGTTGGAATAGCAGTCTAATTGTTAGTAATTCAGGAGTGTATAGTTGGCCAAACTTGAGCTGGCCAAAGTCTTTCTCTGGGCCTTTTGGATTTAGAAATCCAGAGATAGATCAGTGTCTCTTCACTGGCAAGCTCTGTCTTAGGAGCTTCTGACATCTGTTGGGAGCATCTGTTTTCAACTTACAATTAAAGACAGTCTTCAGTTAGAAAGAAGAGAGAACACAAGAAAAACAGATGAGAAACCAGCTGGTGAGCCCCTGACTTCATTGATTCTGAGGCCAGCTGCGTGTGTGTGCTGCTCCTTGAGTTCATGGTTGAAATGAAGACCCTCTGCTCACACCACCATCTCCACACCTATGCCTTCTTAAAGGTTGCTCAAACTGAGCTGAGCTGAGTTTTTGGGTTGCTTGTAAATAAGATCCCCAGAATCCCCAGATCCTCAGAACATTACTGAGTTATGTTCTTGGAAAAGCCGTGCCAAAGAAGGTCAGCATGTGAATCTACCTCCTACAATTCAGCTGTAGCAGAATATCTGACGGTTTGGTTTGGGTTTTTTTTCTTTGTGGATGCTGAATCGAAATGCTTCTATTTCCATTTTAGGAAGCAGGACTCACATTGAACTATTTCAGGAACAGTCTTTTTGACATATAAAAGAAAATAAACTCGTGTTCTAAAAGGTGTAGAAGAAGAAAATAGTAAAAACTATTCAGTGTGCCAGTGGTTGATCCTTTCAGTAATTGTGAGACAGATAACAGTGAGAGCTGCTGGAGGGTCAGCTATGAGTTACTTCTGACCCAACGGCAGTGAGGGAGAGCACATTTCCCAAATGAGCTCTTTGAGACTCAGAGACAGAAATAACTTCACCAGCTCCTCTTAGTGTGTAGCAGAAGTGACCTAAATGTGTCTGATTCAAAGCCCATGCTGCTTTTACACAGGCTTCTTCTATTTTCTGGTTTTTTTTTTCTATTTAAGAAAAACCACCAACAAAACAACAACCCAAAACTCAGATAAAAATGCCCTGGTAATTCTTACTCATTTCACAAGATACTTAAAATGTCATTTAATCTCTTGTCCTAGAACACACT